GATGGCATCACAGGCGAGTTCTATTAAACACTTAGAGCAGAGTTAACATCTATCCTTCTGAAACTATTCCGAAAAATGGCACAGGAAGAACACTCCCAAACTCATTCTATGAGGCCAAAATCAGGCAAAGAAGACACACAAAAATATTAGAGGCCAGTATCAATTAACAAAGATGCAAAAGCATCAACAAATACTAGCAAACTAAATTCAACAGTGTATTAAAAGGATCATACATCATGATCAAATGGACTTATCTCAAAGAGAGAAGTATTTTTAAGTATCTCCAAGTCAGTGTGATGCACCTCATTTACAAATTAAAGAAAATCCATAGAAAAGTGGGCACAGATGGAACATACCTCAGCATAATAAAGGCCACATGTGACAAATTCAACACCATATTCAATGGTGAAAAGCTAAAAACATTCCCTCTAAGACCAGGAACAAGACAAGGATGTCTACTCTCACCACGTTTATTGAACATAGTTTGGGAGTCCTAGCCAGGGCAATCAGAGAAAACAAAAGGAACCCAAATTGGAAAAGTAGTAGTATAACCGTCACTGTTTGCAGATGACATGATACTATACGTAGGAAATCCTAAAGACGTTACCAGAAAACTTACTACAGTTCATTAGTTCAATAAAATTTTGGGAGACTATACACAGAAATCTGTTTCATAGCTACACACTAAGAACAAAAGAACAGAAAGAAAAAATAAGGAAACCATCTCATTTGCCATCACATCAAAAAGAATAAAATACCTAGGAATAAACTTAACCTAAGGAGGCAAAAGACCTGTACTCTGTAAACTAGAAGATGCAGAGGAAAGAAACTAAAGATGACACAGATATATATATATATACACACACCATGTTCTTGGATCTGAAGAATCAATATTGTCAACATGATTATACTACCCAAAGTAGTGTACTGACTCAGTGCAATCTCCATCAAATTACCAAAGGCACTGCTTTAGAGGACTAGAGCAAAAAGTCTTCAAATCTGTATGGAGACACAAAGAACTCCCAAAGAGTCACAGCAATCTTAAGATGGACAGAGCTGGAGGACTCAGGCTCCCTGACTTTAGATTATACTATAAAGCTACAGTCATCAAAACAGTATGGTACTCATACAAAAACACAGAACAATGGAATAGGATAGAGAGCCCAGAAATGAACCCACTCACCTATGGTCAATAATCTACAGCAAAGAAGGCAAGAATTACAATGGAGAAAGGACAGTCTCTTCAGTAAGTGGTGCTGAGAAAAATGGACAGACACATGTGACAGAATGATACAATATTAAAACATCCTTTAAGAATGTACACAAAAATAAACTCCAAATGATTAAAAACCTAAATGTAAGACATATATAGGCATATTTAATAGATGATTTGTAAAGCAGGAGTCCATTTCAATGTTTATCTACTTGGACTTTGGAAGTGTAGTATCAATACCATGTCTGAATAAGATGGTGCCCATTATAGATGAGCATCCACTGGAGTATGGGCGACTCCATGGACTGTAGCAATCAACAGACTGCATTCCTAATGCTGATTTTGCCTGAGATTTGCATTGTCTTTCAATGTTATGTGAAACTAATTACATAATTCTCTTTGGAACTTAACCTCCCAACCCTTATTGTAACTACAAAGTGGTTTACAAGATATTTAATGAGGTGCTATGTTTGTGGAAAAATACCATGTAATTCAAAAACACTACTGAATAGCAGATTACTCTGTGTAGTAGTTAAGTCCTTTACGATAATTTTAATTGTGATCATTTTCTGATTCTCATTGCTGGGAGTTATTAAATCTTAGCAAGCATCACCAATATTAAATGTTGAAAGTCCGTTTAAACTTTAAAGTTGGAGCAACTGTCTGTGTTTGAACAGATAAAATAAAGACAGCTTTGTGTGCCCAGAAAGGAACACGGTACCAACTGCTAGCCAGTCTTGTCTGAAGAGCCACATATTTTTTTCCTGTGTTAATAATCAAGATAATTAGTATGTGGCCATTTTGTTACCCTTAAGAGACTGCAGTTCTGAATTTTTGATTAAAGGTTTTGGCTGCTGTAGAAGTTTTATTTTAAATATATTTTGAATTATAAGAACAAAAAATTTTTGTATTTTTCCAGTTAATTGGAATGATTGCCAAGTCAAAATAAATTCTTTAAAATTTACTGTAAAAAAAGTAAAAGGGAATTCTTAAATAAGACCCCAAGCCCCCACAAGCTATCAGGGAAAAAATTGATACATTTACTAAATTAACAATAAAAACTTCTATAAATTAAAATACCCATGAGAGAAAGATGAAAACAGGTATCTGCACATGATGAAAATAATCAATAAAAACAGATAGACATATTATAAACTTCCATACACCAATAAAGATGACAAACAATCCAACAGAGAAATAGGGGGAAAGACGTCATTTAAAAAATACAGAGAAATATATAGGATGTGTGGAGCTTCCCTGATGGCTCAGAGTAAAGAATCTGCCTGCAATGAAGGAGACCTGGGTTCAGTCTCTGGGTTGGAAAGATGACCTGGAGAAGGGAATGGCTATCCACTCCAGTATTCTTTCTTTTTTTAATAAAACATGTATTTATTTGGCTACTCCGGATCTTAGTTTCGGCATGTGGGATCTAGTTCCCTGACCAGGGACTGATCCAGGCCCCGTGCATTGGGAGCGCAGAGACTTATTCACTGCACCACAAGGGAAGCCCCCACTCCAGTGTTCTTGCCTAACGAATCCCATGAACAGAGCAGCCTGGGGGGGGGGGGGGCAGCACATGGAGTTGCAGAGAGTCAGACACGACCGAGAGGTTCAAACGAGCAAAGTAAAACACACTGTTTAAATATGTACTTATCCTAAAACTATTCATAAAACAAAGGAGATGACACAAAATTCAAAACAGTGGTTCTCTTAAGGGGGGGATGAATCCAAGAGAAATATAGGGGTCTTCAGTGATTAACAGCAAAGTGATATTTCTTCAGCTGTCTGGCGGGTGCACTGCTGTTCATTAATATTCTTTAAACTTTAAGTGAATGTTGTAATCTTTTTATATGTGTATGAAGCTTTGTTTTAAAAGGTGAGAGACCTTCCATATAGGAAGCTGAAAGCAGTTTCTAAGGCTTGGCTCATGTTAAAGCAGAACTTCTGTCTCATAATTAACTATATAAAGGAAAGAGGCAGAGCACCTCTGGTGAAGTATGGGAGGAGGAGAGGGCCCGCATCTCCTACCCACCCCCGCCTCCCCAACACACACCCACAGGACCTGAACTCCCATTCAGAGGAACACTGTAGGGGTGGGCAGGACATGGGAGACCATCCAAATCTCTTCCAGTCTTAAAACTCTTCAATATAATGTGCTAAACCATAATGCCCATGAAGCCTTCACTTGGTTTCACATGTACTTCTTAAAGACCAGATACACAGGAGCATTAGGAAGATCTGAATGTACCATCCTTAGCTATTAATCATGTATATCTCTTTCAGAGTGTTACTGTGTGAAACATCAGCTGGATTACACTATCCTCGGTATCTTTAGTTATTCTGCTGACATAGCTGTCATTCTAATACAGTCATTTATCTTATTTAATTGATACTTTCCTGGGGTTATCAAATTGGCAATTTAAGACATGCTTAAATTGGTAAGCTTCAAGTATTTTAGGTTTCCTGAATGAAAAACATTGTGCTTGGTTTCAAATAGTGTGAAAAATAACTTAAGAAAACATTCCTGGAGATCTTAATAGGTTTGTTTTCAAGAACCACACTTTCTGTTAATCATTTAATTTTGAAAACATTGCAAAAATAAGTTTTTTAAATGATTTTTAAAAAAAAAATTAAACAGAAACAAAATAAACAGTAAAGGGCATTCTCACAAATGAGTGTCTGGCGTATAGGGATTCCAGTGCATTCATGAGATGAACAAACCATAAACAGAGCTTAAGCAAAAATGTGAAATTTTTTAAGTTTCTACTTTTACTTTTTTACTACTACCTATTTTGCCAAATAGCTTCAGACAATTTAACATTTGAGGTGACCTAGGTTCACATCTCAAAGTTACAACAGCATTTTTATTCTATACATTTTTTTCACCCAAAGCTACATAAGGGGACTTACGAAAACACTGCCTTAAACTCCCTGTTCCAAAGCCTACAGCTCTGATTAAAAAATAAAACAAAAAATGGACTAATACATATTTTTTACTAAAGAAAATACTGAGAAAAACTCAACACAATAAAAAGTGAATCTAAAATATTCTCTTCATTTATAAAGAACAATATTATAAGCATTACAAGACAGCTGCTTGTTATAGCAGATTTGAAAAACTTATTTTTAATTTCAAACACTTCTACAGACTAGTTGTCAACATTTTTAAGAAAAAAACTTTTAAACACTGACATTTTGAATAAAAACTAAAAAACAAACCTATTATCCTGATTTTTATTTGAAAAGAAGTAAGAAACTGGTTAAAATCTAGTTTCTAGAAAAGAGTACAAGAGGTCAGATTTATATAGTCACATCCTTCAGTTGCAGATACTTTACATAGAAGCCTGTTTTCATCTGAAAAATCAATTCATAGCTGTTTCATCTGTTTAACACTATCGTCTGTTACTTTTGAAGCATAAACTTTTCCCCCCTTACTTTTGAATGGACATTTCTGTGAATAGCCCTAAATCTAGATAACCTTATACCTATTAGAAGACCTACCTAAGCACCTGGCCAGTAAAAGTCACTGATCTTCAAGCCAAAGGATATAAGCAGGGAAAAAAACAGAAATAAAAACACAATCTCCATAAAAGGAAAAGGACATTATTCTATCATTGCTTGTAATTAAAAAATTTTAAGGCTTACATACACTATCTACCACTTTTAAGATTTACCAACAATAACTTAAGATTATCTTCCCCCAATGTTTTACGTGTCTGCTTAAACAGCACCTTACCCAGGTGCTTATATTCAATGCCTATATTCTATCCCACTCCTTTATACTTACTTGCAGCCTGACAATGAAAACGAAATCCTCGTGGAATTTCACCTGTAATTCAAAATATTTTATTGAGAGATGCCGAAATCCAGAAGCTCTCAGTTGTACTACAGTAATATTCCACAAGATGACCATATCATAACACAGGTAATTGCTATTGTTATGTGAAATTACAGAAGATTTAAACCTCAAAGGAGTTTTTTCCTAACCAAAGGTATGATGACTATCAAAGAATCTTGGTATATTATTCACACTACTTTAAAAAGTTAGTCCTCACAGAGAAAGAAATACTAGGTAAAGAAAATCTGTGTTAAAGGAGTCTTAGCCAGGAGTCCATAAAAAGGCCACAGCTCATGAGGCCCTTGATATACCAAGATAACTGACATATTTCTCAGAGGAAAGTCTCTTAAGTTCTGCCTTTTTAACGTTTTACACCTGTTCGAAAATTGTCCTAAGTAGCAACTCTCCTTAAGTAGGAAAATTTGTTTTCCTGTTATTTCAAAACAAGGAAAAGGGTTGGACTGTCCTAATGAATTTTAAAGCAACTGACAAAACTAAAGATGAAATTATTTTTTCCCCAAACTGTTCTCCCTATATATTCCTCCCACTAATTTATAAAAGGTACAGTACTCCCCTAACTACTATCTACCAACTTGAACACTGAATCAAATCCTATGTGTTCATTACTAACTGCTTTTGATGGGGTGGAATAGTAGTAGGAATAATATTATCTGAAAGTCTTTTAAATACTAGTCAATTTTCATACCTTCTCAAGTATTTAGAAAAGTAAAAGTGAAAGTCACTCAGTCGTGTCTGACTCTTTGCAACCCCATGAACTACAGTCCATGGAATTCTCCAGGCCAAAATACTGGACTGGGTGGTCGTTCCCTTTTCCAGTGGATCTTCCCAATCCAGGAATCGAACCCAGGTCTCCCACATTAGAACAGCCCTCCAACAGGTATTATCCCTACTTTACAGATTAATTAATAGGTTCAGAGAGGATAAATATTTTGCTCAAGGTTACAAGTCAACACCAAGTTAAAAACTAGGAACTGTTGATGTGAAGGATGGGGTAAAGAAAGTAAACAGCAAAGCTTTCAGCAGATTCTAAAACTACAGATAAGCAAACAGCAGGCTACAGATTTTTTCAGGCATTCTATCCTCTCAACTTAAACGCTTACTTGAGGTTAAAAGCCCCAACCAAAAACTCTGTCAACACTTCATTCTCAGTAGTTTTTCACCCAGTCTACATTTGAAGAACTCACCCATGCAACTGCTTTTAAGAAAAATACTATTATCAAATAAGATCAATATAAAAAAGTAACTTTTTAACATCTAGCATCTACTCTAATTGGCTACTTACCAGGATTTATAAAACTGTGGAAATCTGCCATAATACCTTCTTGGAGAGAATATTTAACACAGCCTATTTCACAAGGGAGGAAGCGCTGTTCACAGTGAGGAGGTAGCTCGCCATGGCTAAAGATATTCAAAAAATAAAAAATGCCTCCAAGGAGAGCTTCAAAGAAACAAAACACAAACAGATGAGCATCTCAAGATTTACTCCTTTGATAAAAACAAAAGTTTTAGAAACTTTCTCCTTTTGTTCCTATATTCCTAAATAAATTGGAAAAGAGAAAATAAATCAGGTGTATCAGATAAATAAATTTTCATAACATTTACCAAGGATTAAAGCAATAACCACTCTTTACATGAAATAACAAAATTATTCAAACTTACAGCTGGCTCTACATAACTTAGCTATACATAAGCCTTAAATGAGTAATGACTTAAGAAAAGCTGTGACCCATATTCAAGAAATATAAGGGTATGGAAAATAAAACCAAGCAGAATCAGTATAGAGAAATTCTAGTACAAACTATGGACAATTTAGTTCACTCTCTACCTTTTACCAATACACACAAGACCACTTCTAAATTCTCTAAAGGAAGAAAGAAATGTGAAAATGTAAGAAGGGTATTATTTTCTAGGATTGGCCACACTTAAGGACTGCTAAAGATTAGTAAGTTTTTAACAAAGTCAGAACACATTTAATTAAAAAAAAAAAAAAGAAAACCAGCCAGAAGGAATAGCAAGGACTCTGATTAACTATATTCTTTGCTGCCCTAGGCTCAATTTATCTTTACTTTTGAAACAAACATATTTAAGTGTCTAGCTATAAACACCTGAATTCAAAAAGTATGTCTAATAACATATGACATGGTAGAAACCAGATTTTTGTTTAAAAAAAAAAAAAACAAAAACCCAGTGTTACTTCAACAAATGCATATTACCTGACCTTTTACAACTTTAGTGCCATCATGTTCAAACACCATAGTCAGTTACTTTGAAATGCAGAATCAAAATGAAGAAAAGACAAGTTTACTGATCAACATAACATAGAATTTTAAGTGCCCAAATTTATATAAGCAAAACACTGTAGGATTACTCTACCTTGATCACTTTTTAGAGACAAGCCTGACAGATCCGGGGGTGAAACATTCTGCTTTGGTACAAGCATGCCTGGCTTCCTCAATGGGGTGCAAATAGGTTTCTAAAGAGAAAGGTAATCATTAACCACATATTTAAACTCTTGCCCACTTTATATCATATACTTAAATTTCGCAAAATAACTTTGAAACAATCCATAGCATAGATTACTTTAGTAACCACTCCAAGCCAATAAACCCAATGAGTACATAAATAAATGTCTATAACACCAACACCAAAAGTCAGACATGGCAAAATCTAAAAATATTTTGAATCAAGGGGCTGAGTGGTAAATAACCAGTCCAATTACTGTTGAAAGCCATTTCCCCACTACTGATAATCTAATCCTATGGAGTCATATAATACATGCTTGTCCAATGGCCAAAAGAATATCATTTGCCAAAGTACTCTAACACTGTTCATTCTTCACTCAAAGTAAAAACCAGATTGTGCTGACTCCAAGTCTCAATGATGTATATGTAGAACATGACTTTTATTTGGAGGGGAAATATCTTAAGAAACTGTAGTGAAAAGAAGACACACAAAAATCAGGGCTCACAAGTACAATCAAGTATTAATATGAATTCAACTGAGTAGAGCTTCTACTCAAACATAAATCCATAAGATAAAAATCTCTCCAACCTAAAACAAGCGAAACTATTGAATTTCAATCCAATGTTAGCAGTTTATAGTAAGAATAGAATTTTTGCTATGTCAGAATGGGAAGAATACAGAGAGAGGGGGTAAAATTCTACATTTACCTTGCCTTTTCTAGATATGAATCAGCAACAGATTTTATTCAGTGCTTTAACATTCTGCTACACAGACATAAATTCAAATAAACTTTATTTAACTCTTACCTGTAAGGCACACAAAACATTAATGAACATCCACAGATACTGTTATTTCAATATTTTAAACACAGACTAGTGTCATTCAAAAAGAGAGACTGGACCAAACTACTGTTAAACATCTGAAAAGAGATTCTTCAATCATAAAAGAATTCAAAAGGACCCTTAGAGGCGATCTAGTACAAATCCTAAATATCAAGACTCCCTTTTGCTAATCATGGTTTATTGGTTGCAGGTTTCCTAATGGGATTTTCCCTGGCCTTCACCATCAAACAAAACCAATGTGTGCCCTAGTTCAGGAGCCTGCCCGTTTTTCAGCAAGCATTCTGATACTAAGAAAAAAATGAAAACCTCTTTTTTGCACTCACCCAAATCACCCGGTCGTCTACTCTTGACATTAATCCACTCACTCATCCAGCATTTACTGAGCATGCCTCCCTGTGAGGCGGGTGGCTGCTCTCTGGGTAACTTTACCTGCTTCTCCGAAGGCCCGGAGTCCTTCCCCTGGGCAGCTCTCCACTCTCGGGCCATTTCTGCATACTTCTCCTTTTCCTCCTCCCTCAGGAGCTTGAGGAGATGGAAAGGGAAAACAAGAAGCACCAGTGAGGGCCTGGTGCCCGGGGCCCCGCAAGAGATGCCTGGACATCACTGGGAGGCGGTTCCGGCGTCGGTTTGCCCTGGACCGGGGACGGGGAGCTTCCTCCCCCTCCGGCAGGGCCCAGGGGTCATTGGTCTTCTCAAGACTTCTTTCCCTCCCGCCGGGCCCTCCCACCTGCCAACTGCCTGGCCCCGGGCTCACGGGCCTCCAGCCTTACCGCCCAGTCAGAGGAGCAGTAGGGGATGGCATCAGCGACGCGAGCCACAGGCAGGCCTCTCCGCCGTAGTTCGGGGATCTTCTCCTGCACGAAGAAATAGTAGGCATTGCGGCTGGCCCGGCGGTTCGGCATGGCGAGCGTAGCCAGGCCTTGAAGCGAGCCTCAGACAGCACTCGCCGCCGGCGCCCTCGCCGGGCTCCCACCCTTAGTAACCGAGGCTGTGGCCTGCACGCGCAAGGCGTCAGCTCTCAGCCAATCAGGGCGCGGTGCGCAGGCGCATCGGCCTCTCCGGGAGAAAAACAGCCTGAGACCGGAAGATTCCGCCTCGTGCGACCGAGGAGGCGGGGTGGAGGGGGAGCTAGGGCACAGAGGCCCAGCATTCTGATTGGCGGAGATGAGTGGGTGGGCTTGTCACGAGGATGGCTTGGAGAAATTTCTGTACATTATTGCGTAATATCCTTCAAAGTAGGTAAAGAGGACCAGCCAATGCTTCAGGTTCTTCCGTGCTTTACGGTTCGGTTCAGTTCAGTCGCTCAGTCGTGTCCGACTCTTTTTCGACCCCACGGACTGCAGCACGCCAGGCCTCCCTGTCCATCACCAACTCCCAGAGTTTACTCAAACCCATGTCTACTGAGTTGGTGATGCCATCCAACCATCTCATCCTCCGTCGTCCTCCTCTCCTCCTACCTTCAGTCTTTCCCAGCATCAGGGTCTTTCCCAATGAGTCAGTTCTTCGCATTCGGTGGCCAAATTATTGGAGTTTCAGCTTCTAAATCAGTCCTTCCAGTGAATATTCAGGACTGATTTCATTTAGGATGCACTGGTTGGATCTCCTTGCAGTCCAAGGGACTCTCAAGACTCTTCTCCAACACCACAGTTCAAAAGCATCAATTCTTCCGTGTTCCGCTTTCTCTATAGTTCAACTCTCACATCCCTATGTGACTACTGGAAAAACCATAACCTTGACTAGGCGGACCTTAGTTGGCAAAGTAATGTCTCTGCTTTTTAATATGCTATCTAGGTTGGTCATAATTTTTCTTCTGAGGAGTAAGCGTCTTTAAATTTCATGGCTGCAGTCACCTTCTGCAATGATTTTGGAGCCCAAGAAAATAAAATCTGTCACTGTTTCCACTGTTTTCCCATCTATTTGCCATGAAGTGATGGGACTGGATGCCATGACCTTAGTTTTCTGAATGTTGTGCTTTAAACCAACTTTTTCACTCTCCTCTCTCACTTTCATCAAGAGGCTCTTTAGTAGTTCTTCACTTTCTGCCCTAAGGGTGGTGTCATCTGCATATATGGAGAAGGCAATGGCACCCCACTCCAGTCCTCTTGCCTGGAAAATCCCATGGATGGAGGAGCCTGGTAGTCTGCAGTCCGTGGGGTCGCTAAGAGTCAGACATGACTGAGTGACTTCACTTTCACTTTCATACATTGGAAAAGGAAATGGCAGCCCACTCCAGTGTTCTTGCCTGGAGAATCCCAGGGACGGGGGAGCCTGGTGGGCTGCTGTCTATGGGGTCGCACAGATTCGGACACGGCTGAAGTGACTTAGCAGCAGCGGCAGCATCTGCATATCTGAGGTTATTGATATTTCTCCTGGCAGTCTTGATTCCAGCTTGTGCTTCCTCCAGCCCAGCATTTCTCATGATGTACTCTGCATAGAAGTTAAATAAGCAGGGTGACAATACACAGCCTTGACGTACTCCTTTTCCTATTTGGAACCAGTCTGTTGTTCCATGTCCAGGTCTAACTGTTGCTTCCTGACCTGCATACAGGTTTCTCAAGAGGCAGGTCAGGTGGTCCGGTATTCCCTACTCTTGAAGAATTTTCCACAGTTTGTGGTGATTCACACAGTCAGAGGCTTTGGCATAGTCAATAAAGCAGAAATAGATGCTTTACAGTTGTAAGGGGCCAACTCTGTGCCAAGATTGTGGAAGGTCTTGGGTGGAGGGGACAGAGAGAGGAACACCACAAATGAGATCTTTTCCCTCAAAAAGTTTACACTCTGATGGCGGGGAGGGGCAGGTAAGATGACAAAAGCAAGAGAACCAACCAGAATGATTTGATTTGGTTTCTGCCCTGATTCTTAAACATTATTAAAGAATATGGTTTTTTAAAACACGGTTTTTCATAAGTATTGTAAAGGAAACACTTACAGTAAAAGGCTGAGATTTTAAATACTGCCCTTGAATAAATTTTATAGATTTCCTTATACAGGTCTGATTCATTTTATTCCTTTGTTAGTTTTATTCCTAGAATGTATATAGAAGTATTATATTTATTTTTTCCATTATGTTTTCTAATTAGTTACTCCTGATGTGTAGAGAAAGGTATTGATTTTAGTGTTAATCTTGTGTATTTAGACAGTGCTGAATTCTCAAATTGGTTCAAATAGTGACAGTCAATTTTCCTGGATTTTCTTGGATATGTGCTTCCCAGAGAAACATCCATCTGTGTTCAGTTTGTTAAGTATGTGTATGCATGTTGTATATATATGTTTTAAAAGCAAGAACAAGATTTAAAAATAAATTTTAATGCTTTTTGTGTATCTTCTCAGATGACATATGGTTTTATCCTTTGATTGTTTAGTATAGTAAATGATATTGCTAGATTTTTCTGTTAAAGTATCCTGCCATTACTACTACTATAACCTCTTCTCAATCATGCTTGGCATTGCTTATTTTTTAAAGTATACCCAATGTGGGATTTTTGCCTCCTTGATTGAAGTGATATTAAATGGTGGATTTTTTTCATGCTATCCTTACAAAATGTTGGTATAAGAATTGTAATAGCCTCGTAAAATGAACTGCCATCTTTTTCTCTGTTCACATTGAAGAACAATGGCATTATCTATTCCTGGACAATTTGATAGAACTTTACTAATAAAACGCTTTGATCCTAGTATATCTATGGAGAATGGTGTTGACCTTTGATTGCCATTTCAGTATTTTGCATGGTTATTACTCTTCAGGTTTCCTTACTTTCCTTCAGTTAATTTTGTTAATATTCCTCTTTAGAAAATTGTTTCATTTTGGTTTTCACTTATATTGCTATAAAATGTAGTCAAGGATGTGACACAACTAGGATTTTCATACAGTGACAGTCTCTTATATAGATAAACTTACATTTACCATCAGACACAGAACTTCCACTCATTTAGGAGGAATTAAAAAAAAAACAAAACACTTGGAAATGAATTTTCGTAGCAGCTCTATTTGTAAGAGCCTCAAACTGGACAACCATATGTTCATTAAAAGAGGAATTGATTTTAAAATTGTGATATATCCTTATTAGCTACCCTGGTGGCTCAGATGGTGAAGAGTCTGCCTACAGTGCAAGAGACCTGAGTTTGATCCCTGAGTTGGAAAGAGCCCTTGGAGTAAAGAAAGGCTACCCACTCCAGTATTCTTGCCTGGAGAGTCCCTTGGACAGAGGAGCCTAATGGGCTACAGTCCATGGGGTCACAAAGAATCAGACACGGCTGAGTGACCCACACACTTATTAGGCTGCTATTCAGGAAAGAAATGCAATAAACTGTTGATATTTAACATGGATGAATTTCAGGATAATTTAGTTGAGTGAAAAAAGGAATATATAAAAGGGTAGATAGATATCTTGATTCCATTTATACAAAACTCAAGAAAAGGCAAACTATCGTATAGAAATAAGATGAACAGTTGTTGTTTAGTTACCAAGTCATGTCCAACACTGCCCCTGCCCACCCCCCACCCTCCACGCCTGCCCCAGGCATTTCCCAGGCAAGAATCCTGGAGTGGGTTGCCATTTCCTTCTCCAGGGGCTCTTCCCAGACCCCAGATGGAACCTGTGTCTCTTGCATTGACAGGCAGATGCTTTACCACTGAGCCACCGGGCTGCTCAAATCAGCAGTTACCTAGCACTAAGAGGCAGAGGAAGGGGATTGACTGAGGACTGACAAGAGAACCCCTGGGTTGTCAGAAATATTTTATACCTTGATTATGGTGGTAGTGGTTACAAGTGGCATATAGTTATCAAAATTTCTCAGATAATACATTTAAAAGGTGTGCATTTTATTGTGTGTAAATTATACTTCAATAAAGTTGATTTAAAAAACAGAACTTATTGGCATAAAATAATTACCATATTTTTTATAATTTAAAACATATTCTAATATTGCTTTCCCTTTTCATTCCTAATGTTATTACTACCTCCTGTCTTTTTTTCCTCTTGCAAATGTTTATTTTACTGATCTTAAAAAAAAAAACAGGTTTGGGTTTTATTGATGAACTTTGCAGTTTTCCTGTTCCTTTTTATTTCTGCTTTAAGTTTATGGAGTCCCTCTGTCTTATTTCCTTCAGGCTATTGTGTGGTTCTTTTTCTAGTTTCTTGAATAAAAAGCTTCATTCAAGTATTTTCAATTTCTTTTTCCTATCGTTCTAGGTTTCTTATTTTTCCTTTTTCTGCTTTAGATGGACTGATCACTATTTTTTACTCTGCTTTTTCTTACACTGGTTTCAAGTCATGCTTTCTATTTTGCTTCATTCAGCAGCTACCTATGTTTTTAAGATACTTGTTTTAAAACAAATTTTTATAACTTACACAGTTAGTAGGTATCCATACCCATTCTTCTCAAACAGACAGGAAGCTTAGAAAACTATTGCTTCCCCTCACTTAGTATCCCAACTCACTGCTACACCATTCCACTTGTTAGTATCTGGGATTTTAGTTTCAGATTTTTTTTTTATACCAATGTTGAGACATGATGGAAGTATAGTAAATTAAATACATATACCTAAAGCATACAACCAGATGTTTTAACATATGTGTGCAGCTGTGAAACCGTCGCTACCATCAAGATAATAAACATATCCACCCCCAAAAGTTCTCTTACTAACCCCTTAGGCTCCTTGAAGTTGCCCCACAATTAACCGATACTCTGTTCACTTGTTTTTCCTTCAGTCTTTGTCCTCTGTGTTTCATTTTGCAGTTTCTACTGTTTCTTCACGTTTACTAACCTTTTCTTTTGCGAGATCTAATTTGCTACTAAACCCATCCAGTGTATTTTTTTGTATCAGATCATTTAGTTTTCACCTCTAGAATTTTATTTGAATCTTTCTTATGTCCTCCATATTTCTACTTAACATGGTCTA